TAGATATGGTGACACCTTTTTGGGATCAGGTATCAAATATTTTCCAAAATCATAAATTATATTTTAATGACATCAGATAAAATAATTATTTGTTATTAAATTTCTAGTATGGTTTTATATGGGGATAACTCTTTTAAAAAATAGTAAATTTTGGTTTACAGCTTTATTTACATGTGTTCACAATTTTAGCATGACCCCTGTGATGGACAACGGCAAATAGTACCAGATCCTCAAATTTTCCGTAGAGTATATACCAGTGCTTGAGGATCTAATCCCAGATGAAGATCATGTCAATTTTGATATTAATAATCAACACCTCTACGGAATTTCAATCCCAGCTGTTTGTGCTCTGATGAGAACAAAGTCAAAGTCCTCTACCAACAAGTATTTACAAAAATAAAAGAGATTCCGGAAATCAATCCATCCAACATTAAGTCTGATTTTGAGAAAGGCCGACAAAATGCTCTAAAGGAAACATGGAATGAAAGTTTAGTCAATGGTTGCAGGTAATTTATCAATATTTTTTTATTTCTGTAACATTTTTATTGATCTATTCCTGACCCTTATTTTATTTTAACTGAATGTTTTTGACCATGTAGTAAATTCAATATTGGTCTTGTAAACAATGCATAAAATGATTTAAAATAACGATTATTTCATCTATCTTATAATTAAAAGTGGACACAAAAAAACATTGTCAAAAATCATTCAGGTTGTTTTAAGACCTCTTTTGTTTTTTTTCTAGGTTTCTAGGTTTCATTTTGAAAATCAGGCTGTTCTCGGACTACAAGAGTACATCACAAGAATTGCAAAAAAAACTTTTTTTTGGTATTTCTCTGTCTACTTTATGCAATTTTTTAATTTTTTTTGGCGTTTTTGAATAGTTTTCTTTTATTCTAATGAATTTTTAGTATACGATCATTAAAAGCACAATTGTATGTATAAACACCAATTTAACTTACATTTTTAATAAAAAAATTAAATTATTAATTTTAATAAAAAAAATTAAATTAGCTATAAGTTAGTTTTATATCTAGGCATACAGTATGGGAATGTTTATTTGTCATGTTGTACTTTCTAACAACTGTAATATTTTCATTATATATAGAAACTATTTTTATCCTATAAGAAATATTAAAAAGATTATTTTGATAATGAAAATATATTAGTATATAACACCATGCATCAACTACATCACTAGTTGGGTTTTATAAAAAAAATCCCTGAACTTTAAAAAAAATACTGAACTTAACTTACGCAAAATTTAAATATTTTGAATTATTATTATTTACTGAGTTTCCAGACCACTTCATCTGATGATTCATAATTTATTCATAATTTATTTTCTTATCTGCATTTTATTTCCAATTATATGATTTATTTATCTAGACATTTTCATATAATACTATATCAAGACTCTTGGGAAATTTGCAAATTTTTTGACATGCTTTGTTGTTCAAGTTCAATTTTTAGACAAAATCTTATGACTGATTCCACGAAAGATGAACCAAATTCACATTTTTTATAATGCACAGAAAATGAAATATAGTATTTTATTTTTTGTACAAAACATACTAAATTGTCATAAAATGTAGGTGCTAACGTATTATGATTTCCCTGATGTTTTTTTTAATACAGAAGACCTGCAAGTGTGGGAAAATATAAGTTTTACTTAAATGAACACTAATCTTTTCGACTTGTGTTAATAAAAGTGCTACATATGTTGAGTGTTTTATTTCTCAAGAAATATTTACCAATACACATGTGATAGCATTTAAGTAAAATAAAACGGCGTTCCGCTGTTTCATATTTAAAAATATTACCATGATTCCTAGTAAGTTAAAAAGTGGTAACACACGTAACGAAAACGCAAATTTTTAATGCTGCACATTGTTTTTAATATCATGACTTAATATTACATTCCTTAATTACACGTGCATTTACTTTCTAGCTGCATTTGCAAATATTTTAACTGACGTAGATTCACAGATTTACAATCATTCAACTTACAGTTGGAAGTCTCAACGCAGTTCAGTTTCTTATTTTGTCGTGTTAATTTGTTTTCTTTTTTAATTTTGATGGAAGCAGTGAAACTACGGGCCTTGACTTCTGCAGAAAGAATTAAAAAGTTTAGAATGAAAAAGAAAAAAGAAGATCCACAATTTGAAGTTCGCGAAAATAAAAGAATTGCACAAGTTTATGCTGCGAAATTTTCTAAAATGACAAAGAAACAGTTAACTGAACATAGGCATAAAGTAGCTGCAAGGGCGGCAAAATGTAAAGCTAAGAAAAAGGAAACTATAAAACCTACGGTAACATCAACTAGAGAACTTTTAGGTGAGTCAAACACAACAATTATGTCATCTTCATTTCGTTGTCCACAAACGCTTGAGAAAGCTGTAAAACATTGTTTCAAAGCTTTACCGCTGTCTCCCAATAAAAGATTTGCAGTACTTTACAAGGTTGCTGAAAATGTTGGCCTTAAAATTAATGCAGCATGTTTGTTTAAAAAACGTTTGTTTAAAAAATTTGAAAGACGATGTTGAAAAACTAGTAGAAGACTTTTACTTTCAACCAGACATTATTTACACTATGGCAGGCATGTCAGATACAATGTCTGTTTGGAAAAATGGAAGAAAGGAAACTTTGAGGAAGTATTACTTGACTATGTTCCTCTGTGAGGCATAAACGTTATTTCTTGAGAATAATGAAACAATTAAAATTTATTCTTCCAAATTTTGTGCTCTCCTAATGTACTACTTTTAAAAAATATACCAGCTGATCAGTGTAAATGTGTGATGCATGAAAATTTAATACTACGTTTAAGCGGATTAAGCATTGTGTATAAAAATAATTGGTAGGATGATATTTTGTGTTCTTCTATTGCATTAGATATATCCAAGTCCTTTCGGAAAAATGAGTGTAAATTATGTAAAAACAGCTTTATTATTAAATCTAACAAGAACGTGGAAGACATAGCAATTTGGAACGTGAACGTGGAAGACATAGCAAATTCTAATGATGTTCTTTCTTTTCTAGACCAATATGTCCAAATTTACATTGTATATGTATTTTTACTTAGTAACTCCTAACTTAATAGTGGTTGCTTGCAGGACTGAATCAGAATAATAAAATATATATATACATATATATATATATATATATATATACATATATATATATATATATATATATATATATATATATATATATATATATATATATATATATATATATATATATATATATATATATATATATATATATATATATATATATATATATATATATACATATATATATATATATATATATATATATATATATATATATATATATATATATATATATATATATATCAAATATTAAATGTAATTAAATATAATAAATGTAAATAAACAATGTTTATTTTGTGTCAATTTATAACACTAAAACCAATTATGATAAAATTGAGGAAGATAAATTTATCTAAGAAGTTTTTATACAGGACTGCTCCAACTGTGTTAACTTTTAAGCAGGAATGCGGAGTACCAAAAAGAACTATAACTTTATATCTCTATTTGTTCTTGGCCTCTGGTTTCCAGAAGCTCTGAACGTATTAGTTGACTTATGATCTGCTATATAAAAAAAAACTCAAAAAATTTAATTACTTGAAGCATATTGTTTTTAAGCCCGTAGTCCTGGAGTCCTTGCCGCTATTATACTTAAGGACTCCGGGTTCAAAAAGTAATTGTTCCTCAACCTTAAAGTCCTAATATTTTGTGCCAATAGTAATCTATAAGCGTTTTTTATATTATTAGAGTTCCTGGATACCAAAGAGCTACAAAAACTTGCAAGCAATCAGCCTGTCTGGCGTGATCAGCCTGAGTACAAAGCCATACAAAAAATTTGTATGAAATTTGTATGTACTTTTAGAGAAACTTCAAAACAGGGAATGGTCAACTGAAAAATACCTAGCAACTGTGTTGTACTTTGTTCAAAATTTCAAAGCAGTGTAAGTTACCTAGCTTTCAAAAATATCTTAATATATATTGATATTCATTTCCAAATATTACAACTGACAGTAAATTAAAAGCATTAAAGTAATTGACAGTAATTTAAAAATTTATATTAAATTTATATTTGACAGTAATTTAAAAATTTATATCAAATTTATATTTGACAGTAATTTAAAAGTATTAAAGAAGTTTTTTTTTGTGTAATTGAGTTATATTAGTTTGAAAAAATTTTTCAGTGAGCTGGACAAAAACTTTTTGGATGAGCCTGATAACACTATCCCTGATCAGTTAACTCTCTCCACTGACACTCAAAAGTGCGCTGTTTGCACCATTAACAACCAAAACGCAAGGATCATGCCATGCCATGCAGATATTTTTTTGTTTTGCATGCTTATATCCAGCAAGTGCTACAAAGCGAGACACCCCATTGTCCAACATGTAGAGGACATATAATGCAACAATTATTGAGTCTTTTCAATGAGACTTTTTCATTAGTGCAATTTACATTATTTGAAGAAAAGTTATTGAATTAGATAATTATTGATAATAAATATTGATTTTGATTTATTATATTAGTTCTAATTTAGAACAAATATATTTATATTTAATTGAATTTTTCTCTTTTTAATTTCGATACTATTCTGTTTTTGATTATTTTTATCTTATTCCTTATACAACTTTTCAACATTTGTATTGCCATTAGTTTGTCAAAAAAAAAACTGAGCTTAGAAATATTTCCCATTTTTCACAAGTGGTCACCTGTAGCATTATAAACACATCTAAGATTTTACATCGCTAATGTTGATCTAACAACGTTATTGTTAATTTTACAATATTAATCTTACAATATTACTCAAATAACAGTTCTGGAACCTTTAAAAAAACTTTTTAAAGCTTCCAGAACTTTACAGAAACTTTTGGAAAATCCCTTTACTAATTAGTCAAGCCAATATTGGCAACTTTTAATTAAATTTTTAAAATTAAATTAAAACTTCAAGATACCTGTTTTGATTGTATAGCTGTGTTAACTATTCCAGCAGCTTGCTTCTGCTGTAAGTATGTTATAAAACCTGTTTTCAATGCTCGAGTTTGCGCATGAACATCAAGAGGATCACGCCCACAAGGTAATGCTAGCAACATACAATGCTCTTTTATTAACTATATTGAAAAATAATATATTATTTAAAAGAAACAGAAAAAATTATATTGCTTCAAGAAAATTATAACAAAATTATGGCAAAAACCTTTTCAATACCTGTATTCTTTTATCAACACCTTCTAACTGAGATGTCTCCAGTTTCATTCGCTGAGAAATTCTTAAAGTTGGAGGGACTTCATTAGGTTGAGCAGCTCGTGGTAAAGAAGATTCTGCAATGCGTACATTGCCTAAATAACATTATTGTGTATATATATATATATATATATATATATATATATATATATATATATATATATATATATATATATATATATATATATATATATATATATATATGTATATATATATATATATATACACATAATTTATTCCTATTTAAAAAAGCACAACTATGCCATCATAGGCAACCACTATGATGGCATAGGGAGGCTTGGGCTGGTTATGATCAAGAATAACTTACTGATTTCATTTAACCTTAGAGTCTTCCCTCAGAAAAGCCAGAATTTACCTGTAACCATCCTAATTCACCCTTTAATGCTACACAACAGCATTGTAAAGAATATATTGCGTTTTATGTATTTTTTGGACCAAAAAAAAACCTTTGGAGATCGCTTTCTTTTTACTTTACTTAAAAATAAGTTTTTCTTATAAAAAAAAAAGGTTTTCCCAACTTGTCAATATTGCAACACACCCAACTCGTTAGTATGCCATCATGGGAAGAAGTCATCATTTTTCATTAAAACATTAAAGCTGTGTCTGCCTTGTTCAAAAGATAAAATTAAAGTAAATATTCCACTAAATGCACAAAACTTGGATATAAAATCCATGAAAATTCCCTTTCTGCACAGTTAAAAATTTTCTTTTTTTTCTGCACATTTAAAAATAAAATCACAATCTTAAATATATGAAGGGAATAAAATACAACAAAAAAACTACAACAGTTCATTATTTGTGCACAAGGAACGTATTTTCACTAAAACTAATGTAAAGTCAGTATAGTCATGTAGGTCTAATCACTTTTTCACCAAAACCAATTTTTATATAAATATGACAGGTATGTCATCATAGACGCCTATATATATATATATATGTATATATATATATATATATATATATATATATATATATATATATATATATATATATGTATGTATGTATGTATGTATGCATGCATGCATGCATGCATGCATGCATGCATGCATGCATGCATGCATGCATGTATGTATGTATGTATGTATGTATGTATGTATGTATGTATGTATGTATGTATATATATATATATATATATATATATAACTTCAATTTTGTTTTTGTCAGGCGCTTATTTCCAGCCCTGTATATTAGGGTTGTCCAGGATATAGTATGAAGAGTCAAAACGTTGTGGAGTGAAGTTTTTCCCATTATACTATCTGTAGTATGTCTAAAAATAATTTTTACAGATTTTTGATAAGTGATCCTGAGGTTCCTCAAGGCCTCTGAACATGTTCCTTATTTGTTGCATAAATTGCATTTTTTGTTGTTTTCTTTAGAATCACAATAATCAAAGAATCATTTCTAAAAAGTTGTGACTTGGTTTTCAGTGGCTTTTAGTTGTATTAATCAAGTTTTGATATGTTTAGTGAAAGAATAAATTTAATTTTATCAATGAATATATTGGAAAAATGTTGACTCGAAGTAGTAAAAAGTGCGATCCATCACCACAGTGAAATACTAAAGACAAAAAGTCTAAAGAACAAAAAGAGATTCCACTTTGTCAAAGGACTTCTAGCTCACATAAAGGAACTCCAAGCAGACCTGTGACAAGAAAGTTAACTGATAAACCAGTATTGAAAAAAAGTGTTTGAGAAACAACTTTGACTAGTTAACTGATTTCTGGTTAATTGGTCATCCTTCAACATCAATTAATGGGGTTAAACTGCCTGATTGTAGGCAATTATGAAATATGTCTTATTTCTAAGGAACAATCCAGATAATATTAAAATAAAGTGAAGATTGAGGATATTGCTTATGTTGTGGTTGATGCAGTCCTTGTTTTTTAGAATATGGCATGCATAAAAACTAAATACAGACAGAATTGCATGTTTGATGTTATAAAATGAAGATTGAGGATATTGCTTATGTTGTGGTTGATGCAGTCCTTGTTTTTTAGAATATGGCATGCATAAAAACTAAATACAGACAGAATTGCATGTTTGATGTTATAAAACTTTGGAATGAATGGCAGAGTTTGATAAAAATAAAGGAAGAACAACTGACCCTGGTAGCAAGAGAGCAAGTTTAATTGAACGATTATGATACCTGACGCCATAGATGAAATAAAGAAATCAAGATTTTTGTCAGAAAGAAAAAAACAAGATGATATTGACTTTTATTTGGACCAACAACAGGAAAGAAGAGCATGTATGGATAGACATGATAAAATTTTTGAAACCCAAGTCGAAATGAAATTTTTAAGACAAGCACGTGAAGCAAGAATTACAGAAAGAGAACAGTGCAGGTTGTATATTTTAAAAGAACAAGTTGAAGGAGTTGACCGAACTGAAATTGATCCTGATTTTGAAACAAATCTACAACAAGAAGCAACAAAAATAGATCAAGGCAAATAGATCTACAACTCGGAGAACAAGTATGTTCAATTGTCAAAAGATTGCAGAAAGTCATGAAGACAGTGAAACAGAACCCTCCCCAATATGGTGCTTTGCATTGGGATGGTAAGCTTTTAAAAGATATGCTGGAAAACACATATGAACGACTTGCAATTCTTATTTCTGGAGCTCCCGAATACAAAGAATGGATATTATTAGGTGTACCTTCTCTAGCTAACTCGAAAGGAGCAACTTAAGCTAAAGCAACACTTGATCTGACACAAGTTTTTGATCTGTCAGACAGAGTTAAAGCTCTAGTGTTTGATACAGCAACTAGCAATAGTGGTAATACACAAAGGAGCTGCTAAAGTTAATGGAAGCAAGTCTAGATAAAAAGTTATTCTATCTAGCTTGTCGTCATCACATTTTAGAACTTGTTTTTGGTGCTGTATGGAAATTATTATTCTGTGACATATAAGGCCCAGAAAACAAACTGTTTGTAAAATTTAAAGATGTATGGTCTAACTGTGGTATGTGGTAGTGGTGTAGTGGTAAAACACTCACTTCATAAGCGAGAGGTTCCGAGTTCGATCCCCACCACGTTTTGGTAATACCACGCTCAACTTGTTTTTCCGCGCAGCAGCCTTGTTCGTCAAGGTTCGTGTTTTGGAGTTATAGAGTTAAGAGAGGGTTATAACCACTACTAAGTAGCCTCCTCGTCTGTAGTGGCCTTCTTGGCCTTGAGGAGGTAAACAATAAAAATAAATTAAAAAAAAAAAAAAATTTGCTAAAGTTCAAGCAATACAAGTACTTGAAATTGAAAATGAATGGCTGTTAAACATAAAACATAAAGTTGTCAAAGAACTTACAGACATGCTATCTTGCAAGGATTCAATAACTTTTCCAAGAGATGATTATTGTGAATCTGCTGAAAACATTCTGATAATCTTGGGTGAAACTCCGCCAAATGGTGCCAAGCACTTTCTCAAACCAGGGTGGTACCAAGCACTTTCTCAAACCAGGGGGGACGCATCAAGCATGTTGGATGGCCAACAACATATATGCTGGAAAGATGTATATGTTTTCAAAACAGATGCGGTATGATGATGACATAGTTGCTCAACTCATGGATATGTATAGACTTTTGGCTCATTTCTACACTCCTGCATGGATGAAAACATCATAAGGAGCAGATGTACCTACGAATGACCTCTAGTTTATTTATGACATGATTGATTTTAGAAGTGTTGACAAAGATATTGCTGATATTGTGATTAACAATTTCCGTAATCATCAATGGCACACATGCACTAAAGAAAAAAAATGGTTTTTGACTCCAATATCAGAAAACTACCGCCTTGGTAAACCAGTATTGAAAAAAAGTGTTCGAGAAACAACTTTGACTAGTTTAATTGGGCCTGAATCTCATTTGTTGTTTCACATTTTAAAAGTGAGCACTGGTTGGATTTTCAAACCAGTGGAGCAGTGGAGTTAAGACCAGGCTTTTAGAGTTGCATAACAATTTGTTTGTACAGTTAAAGTTGTCAACGATGTACCAGAGCGTGGTGTCAAGTTAATCTCGGATTTTGCTACTGATATTTAGCAAAGGGCATGGTTGTTGCAGGGTGTCGAGCAGCATAAAAAGTTATATTCCACTTTTGATAAAGACGCTAAATTTGTGAAACTGTGATGTAGTACTAAGTACTATATGAGTGTGTTGAGTATAACAGATTAAACACTTTTTAAGTAAATTACTAATTTTTCAAGTAAAGACTGTAAAGTCCTTCACTTTTTGTTATATTTGGTCACAAAATTGACTATAAAATTTTTTTTTGTATATCTGATTACCTTTAAATTAAACATGATTTTGTTTAAATAATAATAGTTTATAACGTAAAAGATTTTAATTTTTGCTCAAAAAATGGGGTTCAAATTCAGAGGCCTTGAGGGACCTCAGAATCACTTATCAAAAATCTGTAAAAATTATTTTTAGACATGTCATTGATAGCATAATGGGAAAAACTTCACTTCACAACATTTTGACACTTCATACTAATCGTGGACAACAATTACTGTGTGTGTGTGTGTGTGTGTGTGTGTGTGTGTGTATATATATATATATATATATATTTGTGTATGCGTGTGTGAAAGCAAAAAGATTTATTTGTGAAAAGATTATATTTTAATGAAAAATAAAGATTTTTGTATTGTATTTTTATTTTACATTTAAAACAGTCATCATCCACTACACATTTAAAACAGTCATTTAAAAGGACTTCATTTATTGTAATCAACAAAAAAATAATTTGAATGTAAAGATATTTGTTGCAAAATTTGAAAACTTTACTTTCAATAAATAAATGAAACATCTTATGGTACTATTTGAAAACAAAAAGCCATATTACAGCAAAAATGTAATTTATTACCTAAAACTATATATACTAATAAAAAAAGCTAATATATTAAGATTTCGTATAAACACTATATTTTTAGTTGTAGAACTATTAACTAACAAATTTAAAAACCATGTTTTATAAGTGTCAACATGCCCACAACTGTGTCATTGCATTTTTTTTTTCAAAATTCAAAATTAATTCAAAATTCAAATTTTAAAATTCATAATTTCTTGGATAAGGTCATAAATCAATGTTTTTTGTTATCCATTAAAAAGCAACTTCACAATCAAAAGCATGGCATATTTTATTTGGACATTTTAATTGACATTTCCTTTATAATTGCAACTTTATCCATCACAATAGTTACTGTGGTAACAATGTGTAATGAAATTTTTTAAATATAAAATCTCAAAACATTAACAAAAACAGCACTTCTGATAATTATATAAATTAAAATATATAAATGATAAAGTTGCTTATCAATGCATTGTTCAGATTTAAGGTTATGGCTTAAAATCTTTCTAAAGGAACTTTTTTTTTAATTAAACAAAAATATTTTGAAATAGTTTAATGTTTTTTAACTACTTATTAACTATTTATTTTTAACTGTTATGTTTATCTATTTTTATTTTTAACTGTTATGTTTATCTATTTTTATTTTTAAAGTTTCATAGAATAAGTGCATCAATGTGTACATAAATAGACTGATATAACTGTAGTCACAGTGTTTATACACCAACTGACAGTTTTGGTTTTGGCAAACATTCTTTTAATTAAAACAAAAGTAATTCAATATTTATTTAAATAGGGTTTATAAATTAATTTAATTTATACAAAAAATTGTTAAATTAAACTACACGATATTTTTTAGTGAAATAGTCAAAATAATTAACAATAAATACATGTGTACAAACAAGAAAAAATTAGTCGTACAAACGTGCAAAGAATGTCTTAACTAAATGTCGAGTGATAGGTGAGATTAAACCTTAACTGTTTCACTAATTACTTGAAATTACAAAAAAAATGAAAAAAAATTTTTTTTTTAATGAAATAGCCTAAATTCTGTAAATATCTGGAAAAAGGTAATCCTATGTATTATATATTATATTTTTATTAATTTATTTAAAAAAACAAATACTCATAAAAATATAATAATATTTAGATAAAAATATAACTCTTACACTGCCTAATTAAACACTTAGCTGATGTAGTGAAACTCCCTTGCATATTGCATGCACTTTTCATAAAAGTTGACCTTTTTTACACAGAAAAAAAAACAAAACAAAAAAAAGTATACTTACAGAGAAGAAACTCTTACAGGTACACAAAAATATACTTGTTAATTCTCCGTAAATATTGTTTTTAAAAAAAATAAAGGACTATGGAGCTTAAATTAGGCTTCAATTAATCACAAAAGATAACCACAGCATATGAAAAACACTGAGTTTTGATTTTTTATCTTAAGGGTTTTATCCAAAGGTTTAAGGCCCCATAATATGCATACATAAAAGATATCACACTCAATTTATACCTGACAAAAAATGCATTTGAACAGCAGCTGTGTCATTCTTTAAACCAAGAAGACCTTGCCACATCACTGGATACCTTCTTAGTAAATCCATCAATGTGTCAGCACTTTGTGAAGCAGTACTACTAGATGGTAATACATTTTCCCTAGAGTAAGCAATTTGTCCATTACTTACAATGGAAGTAGGATGTTTAACTTTATCAATTAGCGGAGGTGGAGGTGGAGGTGTATGAGTTCTTCTGCTATGTTGATCATAATGATCTTTTCGCTCCAAAGAATGAAGAGGAGATTTACTATAAGGACTACGAACATTTTTTTTATCATATGAGTTATCACGTTTGAGATAACATCCTGGTGAACTATTAGGAGACTTGCTTTTTACACTTCTACTAGGACTTCTACGAATAGAATCAGAACTTGAATACTTTGATCGATGATATTCTTTTTCTCTGTCACGCTCAGCACGATGCTCACGTCGATCAAAATCATCTCTATTACTTTGTCTGTATGCTTTTGGTTCTCTTGCTTTATCAAAAACTTTTTTATCTTCACGAAGACATGAATGCCGCTTATAATTAAGTTTTTTATTATCAGAGTCATCAGAACTGTCGGAAGAATCACTATCTGATGATGTGCAATCACTTGAATCTGAAGATTCTTCATTATAAGAGGATCTTTGAACTTCTACTTTAACTTTATTTGTTGCTGGGATACTGGATAAAACCTTATCTACAGGTTGTAATCTTGCTGTATACTTTATGACATTATTAGTAGTATTATCTTGAGAGATAGGAGAACCAGCCAGTTGGTTGATGCTAGTTTTTCCATCCTCTTCATTTAACTCTCCTTCTTCAGGTGATGCAACTGTTTTTTTGATTTCATCAACAACTTGCTTATCATTGCATTGTTCAGTTTTAAATAATTGATCTTTATCAAAAGAATAAGTTTCCATGTTATTAACTGCAACCATTTTTGTTCCACCAAGCACATTATTATTATCTTGTTCATAATTACTAATCACTAAAGCATTAACAACATCATTTTCTTGCTTAATTTCACCTAATTTCATTTGTTCAGTATCTTTGTTATGTAATCTATCATTTGCAGTGAAATTATGCTCTGGTTTAATATTTTGCAGAGACATACTAAGAACTCCATCAACACCTGGTTCATTAAGATTCAATTTTTCTTGTAGATTTTTCAACTTCAGAATTTTTTTCTGTTTTCTTTCTGATTTTCTACGAACTTTATCTTTTTTTTTTTTTTCTTTCTTCTCCCTTTTAGCATCTTTCAAAGATTTTAAAGGAGGAGAAGTAATACCTACTGGCGGGTATCCAAACTCAATATCTTTATCCTGTTTCTCTTTTTTGTCTTTTTTTTTGCGCTTTTCTTTTTTCTTAGCATGACCTTCATGTACAGGTGAGCTTAAATAATTATGTTTTCTCTTTCTCTCTTCATTCCGGTATTTGCGGTCATAAAACCCTAAACTACTAACAGGGCTTATAGATTCACGTGATAAAGTATGTTTAGGAGAGTACAAATGTTTAGGAGAATTGCTTCCATGAGACATGGGAGAATATCCACGTGGTCGTTCTTTATCTCTTCCATACATATCTCTTTCTCCTTTTTCATAACCAAACTCAGGGTGGTATTCAGCATATGATCGGGAGTCACCTGATGCAGCATAAGATTTAAAAACATAGTTGTTACCTCGAGGTTGAAATGCTCCTCCTCTAGCAACATTTTGAAAGTTAATATGAGCATCAGGAGGAGTAGGAGAAGGTTCTAGTTGACGTCGATCTAGTTGACCATCTTCTTCCATACGCCGATAAAATCCATCACGACAAGCAGGACTAGCATAATCAACCTAATTACAATAACAATTTTGTTAACAACTTTTCTAAATTTAAATAAAAACTCAGTTAAAAGATAAATATTATACAAGAAAAAGTGTTTTTCACTATAAAGTCTAAAATGAAATTAATAACTTTTTCTTTAAAGGGATCCCTAACTGCTGAGACAAATTGTATTCATATTAAAGAAAATATTTTTAAAAAATGTTTGAGATAAATTTTTTTGATTAAAACTAAATAATGAATGCATACCATTAATTTTAAAATTCACGTTTTAGTCAAAGCTCCCTGTCTCCATTTTTTTTTGGTTCTTGGAGTCTGTATAATGTTAGCAATCTGCAACTTTAATAATTTATTACATGCATGCTTAATTCATAATAGTTTCGGTATATGACATCATCACAATATCTTTTTAAGATCATTTTTTTAAAGATATAAGTATTTTTTTTACTACAATCAGAAAATCAAATCTTTGTATAATTTTTTACTAAATCACAAAAAATATTTGTGATTTAGTAAAAAATTATAGAAATATATATATATATATATATATATATATATATATATATATATATATATATATATATATATATATATATATATATATATATATATATATATATTTACTTGCTTTATTATTACTTTGTTTTAGAAGCCAGCCAAAATCATGACACAATTATACATATTTTGTGATTATTAGAGTTTGCAGGCAGAGAAAAAATAAAGGCAGTATGATGCGGTTTCTCGTTTTATTTAGTTCATATGGTTTAATAGAGTTGTTTGTTTTATGTCTAATTTACATTTAGTAATGGTTTAATTCTTTCACAACCGCAAGCCTCTGGTAGCGGCTTTCGAGTATGGTTCACAATTTATCTTAGTTTGCGCATAAATTTTCATTCTAGACACATATAATTTGTTTGTTTTAAAGGTTTAATTAATTTTCTACATAATCAAGAAAAATTAAGAGCTATATTGTGTAATTATAAAAAAGTTATCACTTAATAAAGTTAAAAAATCTTGAATAATCCTTCATAATAAAAACTTCTTCAAAATTTAGTTTTATATTTAAAACTAATGCTGTTTTATTTTTTAAAATTTAAAAAATAAAACAGCATTGACACCATAAAATTTAACTTGTAGAAGTGTTAAGTATTTAGTTAAGTAATTACTTTTGAAGTAAAAAGTCTTTTGAAGAAAAAATATTCTTTTTATTCATTAAATGAGTTTTGTTTCGGACTCAATGTTTTAGTTACTATTTATAAAACAATGGTTTTAAGCACTTTGCATTTCTTATTGTTTAATGATGCGTGTTAAAAACTTATTTAATTATAAAGTATATTTCGTTGCGTTGGTTTGACAAGGTTCTAACTGAAATTTTTTATATTAGGAGAATTAAAAAAAAAATCTTTTTATTTTTTTTAACGTTTAATTAAAGTTATTTATAATTATAAATATTATTGTTTTTTTTATTTGTTTATGTATTCTTTTTTTGATTAATGTATAAAAATACATAAATAAATAAAAAGTAATCATATAAATATTTTTATTAAGACATTAAAAAAAAAGAAAAAGAAAGATTTATTTGTTATTCTCCTAATATAAAAAAAATCGGTTAGATCCTTGTCAAACCATCGCGACGATTTGTTTAGCTTTCTATTGATATACAGTATGAACACAACTTGTCTCGGCAGTTGGGGAATCCTTTAACAACAATGTAAATACATTTATTAAAAAAAAACATATACTGATGTGTCATATAAATACAAACTGTATTTTATAAATGTAATATTGTTCATAAGATAATATATAAATCATATTATATTATACATCTTTATAAATTATATTACATATATTACAAAACCTATGTGAAAATATAATTTTCAATACATTTCAGAGACAAAACTTAACAAAACTTACAGCAAGGCGTTTCCCTTGAAAATGCTTTCCGTGCATTTCAGCAAAAGCATGTGTACAAGCTTCAATTGTTTCAAAACGAATAAGAGCCTGCCAAAACCTTTTATCAATTAGACAGTGTTGAACATAGCCAAATGGATGAAATATTTTAGAAAGCTGATGATCAACAACATTAGTAGGAAGATTACCAATCCACAAACAATTAGTAGGTGTTCCACGTCCATAACCAATCTACAATAAATTGCAAAAGTAAAATTGCATATTAAACTTTACAAGAAATAATAAATTACCATAAAACTTTGTTGAAGAAATTTTTTTTAAATGTATAAATAAAATGTTACATAATTAGTTACATAATAAATTTGACTATATATTTTAGTATATAATAAGTCCATAATAGTTTGAAGTTTTATAATTTATTACATAAGTTACATAAAAACTTTTTTGCTTTAGTATAGTCACCAATTTAAAATCAAATAATATACAATTTCTAATAAGTATGAACTTTTCTTAATAAAGAAAGTTTAAGCATATTTGATGAATATTATTAGATGATATTTTAGCTTATTTACATTTTATGTAAATGCCTGTATTCTATTACAATAAAAAAATATAAAACATTTTTTTATAAGCAGTATAAACTTTTATATCTCCTTGTCAAATTTTTTATCAAATAAGTAATGCTGTTAACAAATAAATGGATAGCTAGAGTGAAAATCTAAAGGCAACGCACGTCTAATTAATTTTTTTTATTACACAATAAATGAATCTTATTAAGTATATATTCTTGTAACATTAACGTTATAAACATATGCTTGTAACAAGTATAAAACCAAATTTTGTATTTAATAAGCAATTTTTTAAAGGAATAAACAGCTAGCTTATGCAAAAACCAAAAGCTCTCATATGAAGCTGTTTAGAGGAGCAGCTCGGATGGCTCGCCATGTTTGTTTTAAGAGAGCTTTTCTCTGCTCTTGCACTCATTTAATTCTGCCGAGGCCTGCAGATGACACGAGGCCTGCATATAATTACACACATAATAATTTACACCAACAGACATATTAATACACAGACAATATATTACACATAAAATATAAATAGATAGGCATAGAAAAACCAACCTTAAACATTAATGTTTGCCAATACATACATACTTTATTTTTGTAGTTTGAACTGTTTTAAAACTATATTAATAAATCAAATTAGTAAATAATAACAAAAATCACCTTAACAATGGTATGCCCAATATATTCTCTGTCCATTTTACGTTTTGCAAACATAGCACCATTAATATCTATATACTGCACAAATGCATATGTTGTTTGTCCTGTTTGCATTTTTTTAATATCAACATCCTATGAAAAAAGATATACTATACCCAGCAAACATTGTTTTAGTGGATTTGCAGTAGGCATTTTTAGTGGTTCATTGGAGTTTTGCTCAACAGTTACTTAGTTGTTAATTAGTGGGAGCCGCTATAAATGGCAAGCTGAAAATTTTTTGTCATTTTAATAATAACTAGTTATCGACTAGACAAATTTGGGCAGCTGCTACTAATGGTCCACTCACTAACCGATGAGAAAAACTACAGTGGTTTGCTCAAAATGCCTATATAGGTGTGTGTGTGTATATATATATATATATATATATATATATATATATATATATATATATATATATATATATATATATATATATATATATATATATATATATATATATCAGGCCTTGTTAAGAATCGTTACGCAGCTCGCATTTTACCAGCGAAAAGGCGATTTGCCTATGCATTCAGCAGTTTTGCGTTACGCAAAAACTTTAATCCTTTAGAATATTTAAATTATCATTTGATATCTTTTATGTGACGTTTATTCAGAAGCAAATAAAATCGTAAGTAAAAGCATTTAACCGCAATTGTAAACTAATAGATTTTTTGTTAAAGAAAAATTTCTTTAATTATTTTTATTGTTATTGTTGTTAAAAATTAGTTTAAAAAAAATAAGTGTTTTAAGTTTAAACTTTTTATCATATTTAATATTAAGTTTTATATTTCATAAGTTTAAAAACATTCAAGTTATATAAAAAAAAAAAATACTTTCAATTTATTTTATTAAATTTAAATATTTTTTTATTAATCATAGTTTTTAGTAAATAAATTTATTAAATTTAATTAAAATTCTTTTATTTAATTTTAAAACAGAGCATTTTAAAATTTTTTAATTTTAAAATGCTCTGTTTTACAATTTTTTTTTATGATAAAATTTCCAAAGTAAAAAAAGATTTAATAAATTTAATTCAAGTTTCTTTAAAATGTTCGTATTACATATAATTTTATTTTAATTTCAGTTAAGTTTCAGGTAAGTTTCAATTCCAAATACTGGTCTGAATAATACGTTGAACAAAAGCGCATTATTTTCCAGTTTTTCTTTTTCCATTATTTTACAGTTTCATTCATTATTTACAGAAGCGCATTATTCATTTTATAACTACAAGTTAATAAATAACGTCAATACAAAAAAGTTCTTTTAAACTTGAGTTATAAATGTTATGTTTGGGTTTTCCCTTAGCGGTTTGCCAAAGAATTTTTTTTATAAAACAAACCAAAATTCAAACCTATAAAAATAACGTGATCAATAAATAAACTCTTTATAAGCCCAACTTATATTTATTTTATTTTAAAAACAAAACTAGTACTAGAGCTATAAATATAAGATACATAAATTTCAAAATTATAATGATATTTGTTAAAAACAAATTCTGCTTATAACATCTTAAAACACTATTTTTTTTTTTTTTTTTGGATTGAGTAAAAAAATAGTAAAAATACATTAGGTTTCACTGTACATAAAAATAAAATATTTTAATGGAAATAAAAAAAAAACTAAGCCGAAAAGCAGTAAATTTTGTTTCTTTACAATATTTATTTTATCAAAGCAAACGTTTTTTTAAAAAGGGGAAAACCCAATCTGTGCATTTAGTTGTAAGTACATTTAAAGTGTTAAATTTAAATTATTAAAAAAAAATATTTAAAAAAAAACTACCATAAATCGAATGTTTAAAAGCAAAAAAATCAATGTTTAAATAAGTATAAGATTTTAATACAAAAAGACTTTTTTAATCAACATTAAAACTTTAGTTTTTTTTTATAACAATATTGTTCAATTTAAAGCTGTTTCGCTTTAAAGCTATTTCGTTTCTAAGACTAACAATAAAAATAAATGACAATAAAAACCATTGTTTTTATTTTATAAATAAATGACAATAAAAAATATTGTTTTTATTGTCATTTTAAATTTAATTACAATAAAGTAAAAACGCAATGACGTAATTTAACTTTTAACAATGTAAATATCTTTATTCGGTAAAGTTACATTTATTCACGTTTCGCTTTTCCGTTACGCAGCGAAATCTTGTAACAAGGCCTGATATATATATATATATATATATATATATATATAAAATATGTATTATTATACAAATACTTACTACTTATTATCTAAAATATAATAACTACAATGAACATTGTTTGTAACTATTAAACTTTTTTAGATTCAGTAAAACTTTCTTTTTCGTGACTTTTTCTGAACTTAGTATTTATCTTAAAGTTCATTTACAAGCTACTTTACAATTTAACAAATCTAGTTAATTCTTTTTACAATTAGTGACAAGAATAGCTTAAGCTTTTGACTGTTTCTTCTTTGATTTGCAGAAATCCATTGCCTCTAAAAGAATTGAAATGTATATTTTTTTCGAAACAAATTACTGTTGAATTTTAGAAAGCAACTGTAATTTACAAAATGGTGAATTCTGAACTGTCCAACAATTTTTAGTGGTTGATGGCTTCTTAAAAAAAAACATATTGAAATTGTTGAGAATGTTTGCATTTGCTACTCCATTGTAACTCAGGTGATTTGAATAAGATATTAATGCTGATAGTTTGATGGTTTACTACCTGTTTACTATAAATATATGCAAAGAGTCATTTCAGATTGTGCATTTTGTTAGCTAGTTTTTAATCATAGCCATGTGATGCTTGTTTGCTGTTTTTCTTTACCTCTTTTAGACATTTGTATACTCCTTGATGTGTGATGCATTTTTCCACTTTGAATTTGCATTTTTGTACCAGAGCTTTTTAGCCTGATTAGATTCATTAGTTTGTCTGTGATCCATGGTGGCTATTTTTTATAACAGTTGACAGATGGAGAAATATTCTTCAACATTGCAAAACATAAATCTAACTTGTCAATTTATATTTATTTTATCATATTTACCATATTTGTAGAGAAATTTTTTAGAATTCAAAACTATTTTGATTAACACTGCTTACTTTATGCTGCCACCTGAGAGACAAATCCTTGAGAGGCTTTACTAAGACAAGGTCCTGTCAAACCTTTTTTGATCCTATCTATCAATTCTGAATTGGATCTAGTATTTTGTTTAAATTTCCCTCAGTTTTTTAACATGCTGGTTAAAGTGATTGCTACCAGGTCTTGTGATAAAGCAATGGGCATAGTGCCTAAAATAAGGTTTCCTGAACTCTGTGGTAGCTCTATCACAATAACTTGGTCGCTGCTCAAAAGAGCTATCATCTCTAGTTCCATCAACCTAAACTAATTCTCGCTTGACTCGTCATTCATTAAAATCACATCCTTTTACTGTATCTGTGGTAAACAAATATTTGTTCCTTGAATTCAAGTAAAAAATACCTATCAGAAGCTGATTTTCCTTATGTTCTAAAACATTGTGACTTTCCTTTATAAATTGGTTTATATAATGACAATCAATGTCAAGGTTTGACAGAGTTGATGTATAACTTAATATTCTAAATTGATAGCCTCTAGATTTTTTGTTTCAAAAGTTTATAGTCTTTAGATCACAACCAGGTATTGTAATTAAGTTATAATTTTAGTTACTATTTGCATTATATCATTATTTTACTGCAGTGTTTTATAGTGGTGCCTGCTGTTAAAACTGATTTTAAAAAGTAATTTCATAATTGATGTTAATAAGTTTTTATAAAGCTAACACAACTATATAGATTATATAATATAAGTATATATTTTATTACATATTTCATATAACATTATTATGATTTTTTTTTTTTTATATATATATTTCTAATAACACATTAAACTAAATGTTATCAGATCATGTTAATATATTAAGATTATTATAAATTGTCTATTCTTATATGTTGAACCCTTAAGATTGTCTATCCCTATATGTTAACCCTTATATGTTGAATCAAAATAAATATTGCTTAATTTATATTTATTTATAACAAGCAGATGGTTAAGGATTGCTTACTAAAATTATTGTTTAAATCACTTACAACAACATCTCCAAATCTTTCAAATATACTTCTCAGTTCACCATGCATCATAGTTTTTTCTATATTACCAACAAAAACAGTTCTAGTAGCATGTGGATCAAATGCAAGATCGTCTTTTTCTGGAGAGTGATTACGTGATTTCTTATTGCCTGTGCAAATAAAATAGTAATTACCACTTAAACTAAACTACTATTTACCAATTCTGATAAATCTACTCACTAACAATAATAAAACCATACCACGAATTAACACACGTATTGTTTGCCCTTGAAAAAGTCTTCCAGTACTATGAGTAGCTTTTTCGGCTTCTTCTGGTCTAAAGTATGTATATATGCATATGCATATGTATATGTATATGTGTGTGTGTATATATATATATATATATATATATATATATATATATATAGTATATATATATATATATATATATATATATATATATATATATATATATATATATATATATATATATATATTTAAATAATCTAAAGAATGTATTCTACCTGTGATTTTTAACATGTAATTTTTAATTTATATATATATGGTCCCTGGTAGTACCGCGCTTAACTCGTTTCTCTGCGCAGCGGCCTTGTTCGTCAAGGTTCGTGTTTCGGAGTTATAGAGTTGAGAGAGGGTTATATAACCACAAATAAGTAGCCTCCTCACCTGTAGTGGCCTTCTCGGCCTTGAAGAGGTGAGTAAAATATATATATATATATATATATATATATATATATATATATATATATATATATATATATGAAATATAGAATTTATAATTCGACCATTGTTAGCTAATATTTTAAATAATTTAACACTTTTAGCTTATATTTTAATCTCACTTACTTCGAAAATTTTACGATTGCATAACGATCAGCTCCTGTTCCCTTGATCTTGATTTTTGTTATTTCACCAGCCTTACGAAATTCATGATATATTCCTTCTTCCAACTCAGAATCTTAAAGTCAATAAATTATAAATAAATAAAATTTATCATTACATTTTATATTTTAAAACAAATATAAGTATCGCAAAAGTTAAAATTTATGATTGCAGATCAAGCATGCTACTTAAAAGTTTCAATTTATTTTTTGCCAACTTTAATGTTTTATAGACACCTTTTATTCATACATAAAATCTAATTTATACTCATTTACTAATGTTTAATTAATATTTTTTCTAAATCTTCAATAATTTTTTAATTTTAACTTCTTTAGATAATTTATTTTAAAAGAAATTGTTTAGCAAAAGTGCAAATGTATGTTTATCATTAAAACGTTAAAGGGATCCCAAACTCCCAACACATGTTGTGTTCATATTAAAGATAATGTTAAAAAAAAAGGTTTGAACCAAATTTTTTTGATTAAAAATAAATAATGAATGCATACCGAGAAAAACAAATGTTGTTGTTTTTGCCGAAGCTCGTCTTCTCCATTTTTTCAACTAATTGGAGTCTTTAAATTATGCGTCGCAATCTACAGACTTTGGCAATTCCTTTGAAGCGCGTTTAATTCATAAAAGTTTTAGTATTTGACGTCAAGGTAGACTTTTAACAAAAGAAAAGTGTAATTAAACTAAGCTGCGTTTTTCTACTGTAGTATTTTTTAACATACAGCAAAACAAATTTATTTGTATTATTTTTCTAAACATCGCAAAAAAAAATTTGTAAAAAGAAAAAATGATAAATTATTTTTATTTTATAGGAGCAACTTATTTTTTACAGATATCTTAATAATTTTTAGATTTATATATCTTACTTATATTTCTTTAATTATTTAAATTGAAACAAATATTAAAGCTTTACTTACCAATCTCATGATTTTCATACGAGTATTTTACATTGTATAGAACGTTTTATATACGGTTTCTTGTTTTAGCGCAAGAGAGCGCAGTATTATATATTCTGATTCTTAATTATTTTTATTTAAACAATGGGAACTATTTTCTAACTTCTCTGGTTATTTTTACGCTATGATAATTTTTTGTTTTCTTGTTGAAAAAAAGTTTTTATTAACAATTACTTTCATAAACTAACAGTATTAATTAGAGATATTTAATTTTTTTGATCACGCTGATTTAATTTAAATTGCTAAACTTGCTGAATTGAATACGGATAAAAAGGAAATACCATTTTATTTTACATTTGATTTTTGATAATGAAATTTTTAAAATGTCAGCAACTCCATACCAATTAGAACCTGTTAAGATTATGAAAAAAAATACAAGAATACACTAAACAATAGTTTAGTGTATTTTTGTACTTTTTTTTTTACACTTGATAGTAGTATCAGATATAAAAATTCGTGAAAGGATATGTGAGATCCTGATTTTGCATTAAAAGTGCAATTAATTGCAACACAAGTCGGCAATATAAATCTTGATTATAAGTTTACTGTTCAATATTTTATAACCATCAAATAAAAAACATGAAGTTTGTATATTTTTGCCCGTTTTATACAACTAATATTTAACCAAAATACGGACAAATTATTATTAAATAATGCAATAATTAACACATTAATTAAAGGCAATAATTCAAGATAGATGGTAATTTAAATTGTTAAAATGTCATAACGCGCATTAAAAAACATATTTAGAATATATATAGAATTATATTTGACATATATAGAATTATATTTGGTATTTCCAAATTTGTGTCGTAATTGGCATTTGTCTCTTAACATGAAAAATTAAAAATTTTTAAAAACACAATTAACAAATACAAATTTTCAAGCAATTTTCTCTTCCAATTCTCATTTATTCAAAGAAAATTAAACTATTAAACTTTTATTTCTCTCATCTAAAAAAAGAACGAATGACGCAAAAAATATATATATTCTTTACAACTCTTATTCATTCAAAGTTTAATTGCGCGAAACTTTTCTTTCTCTTTTATAAAAAAAGCGCCCGATGAAATAAAAACTTTTATTTTTTAATATATAATTATAGTTTAAGATAAAATTAAATTAGAAATAAATCAACAATGAGCAAAGCAACGAACAGATTAATCTGGAACTATTTTGATATTTATGAAAATAATCAACATAAACAACATTACCAACAACAGTTATCAAATAAACAACACAATCTCGCATAATTTTAGAGGCATTTTATTTTTGTTGCTTAGTCGTTCTAAATAATAAGTAAATTTAGTTCAAGTTAATAATTCAATATTTACAGTTGCAATATAATAAAGAAATGGTGTTTAATACTGAACTTTTTTTTTAGTTATTTATTTTTTTACCTACATTTGTTATAAAAAACTTTAGAACCCCCGTCATTAAAATAATTTGTTTTAAATATATTTCGACGTGATTATTCAAACTAATTTTTTTCGTTTGACTTTCCGAACTTCATGCAAAGCAAATTGAAACGAAATATCGTCTAACCAAATAAAAAAGCTGTTACTAATTTTATACGGGTAATTAATGTAAGACAATTTTTGAGATAATAAATATTCATAATTTATAAACATTAAATATATGGCGCAATAACAATTTATAGCAACGAACGAGCATAAAAGATTTAAGGTTTTTAATATCTTTTTAAATATTAAAAGTAGAAAAAAAAAAAAAACTAAACAAATAACCAAAAAAACTTCGACTAAAAATAAATAAAAATATTTCCAGAGTTTCTTTTGTTAAAAGTCTACCGTGACGTCAAATACTAAAACTTTTATGAATTAAACGCGCTTCAAAGGAATTGCCAAAGTCTGTAGATTGCGACGCATAATTTGAAGACTCCGATTAGTTGAAAAAATGGAGAAGACGAGCCTCGGCAAAAACAACAACATTTGTTTTTCTCGGTATGCATTCATTATTTATTTTTAATCAAAAAAATTTGGTTCAAACCTTTTTTTTTAACATTATCTTTAATATGAACACAACATGTGTTGGGAGTTTGGGATCCCTTTAATAGTAAAATAATAAAATTTTTTAATAAATTAAAATATATATATATATATATATATATATATATATATATATATATATATATATATATGTATATATATATATATATATATATATATATATATATATATATATATATATATATATATATATATATATATATATATATATATATAATATCATATGAAAGACAAAAAGAACATGTATTCTGGACCTTTCTAGCCAAGTAGAATCATTAGCTAGCTAAAAAGTAATTTATTCAACATATTATGATATTGTTTTTTTACTCCATCCATAATATAAATGATTCACTCAATTATATTCTATTGCAAACTTCAAAGAAACACCGAATTCAAAAACCTGTGGTTCATTAAAAAAAAAAGGAATACTCCTAGTTCAATCCCTCCCACATCCCTTGTAGTAAAGAGCTATATGTTAGTCCTGGGCATATACTTACATAATGATTAACATATTTGTCATGATATCATGTTTGAATCTTCAGATACTTTTATCGTTTTTATTTCGTTTCTGATCATTTTAACTAAGTCCTTTTTCTTTATGCTTCAGCCAATATTGTTGTTATCGGTGACTTTAATGCACATCACACTGAATGGCTTGGCTCTAGTACCACAGCTATTAGGCTCAAAATTTTCGCCTTTCTCAATCTTTTACTCAGATAGTTAACTTTGATTTGAGTCTTGACTTGATTTAATAGGTAATTCCTTGATTCGACTCTTGTTTCTGATCTCTGATGTTTCTCACTTCCCCAAGGCCATTAAGGCCACTAAAGTCGAGGAGACTACTTTAGTTGTGGTTACTACCCTCTCTCAACTCTATAACTCTGAAACAAAAACCTTGACAAACAAGGCTGCTGCACAGAGAAACAAGTTTAGCATGGTGACCAGGGACGTGATGAACATTGAACTCGACACTTCTCGTTTATTAGGCGAGTGCTATATCACTACACTACTACTGCATACCACTTGTCACTTTTTTGTCCTGTTTTCATTATGTACCTCTATAAATCTCTTATTTGTCCTTGTATAGAATATATGCTGTTGTTTCATTTGGGCTGGTTCTTCTAATAAGATCTCTTTTAGAAGTCCAAAATTGCCTTGTAAATTTTGTTGGACCAGCTCTAGCTGCCAAGCTAACCTTTGTCTCATTATCAAAAAGCTGCACCTCTTTTTCTTTTCTATAAATACTACCATGGTTGCTGCTCAAGCACGTTATCATCACTTGTTACATCAACCAAAACTTGAGTGACTAGTCATTCAGCTAAGTAACATCTTTTTACTGTAACTGTTCCTTTATACTTAAAAAGCTTTTATTTGCCTATTTTCCGATAAACATTGGTCCTTCGGAACTCTCTTCTACCCTTACTTTTTCCAGACAAATTACATTTTTTCCTCTGTCAACCACTTTCTTGCTCATTCACCCTTTTACTTTTTATTTTACTTTATTAATTCTTGACTTTTATTTTACTATTTTTTTTTTCTATTTTTATTAACTTTTATTACTTTTCTTTATCTCTAAACTTAAATAGTGGTTGCTCGCAGCCTAGTTGGGAATGAATTCTTAAAAAAACAAACATGCTCAGCTCTACAATTGGAAACATAAAGATAAATATATAAAGAAGTATAAAAATAATATTGCCTCAAAGAGATTTAAATGGTGTTTTATATGGTAAACATTGCAAAATGTTAACAAACAAAATGTTAAAAAAACTCATGATGTAAAAAAGAAAAAAAGAAATACTCAACTATATATATATATTTATATATAGTTATATATATATATATATATATATATATATATATATATATATATATATATATATATATATATATATATATATATATATATATATATATATATATATATATATATATATATTTGGACCACCCTAATATATATATATATTATGGTGGTCTAAAAAAAATCTGCTCCACAACCCTAAATGGGTTCTATATAATGCAAAAACACTAGGTTTATAATTTTTTTGAATAAAAAATTTTTTTAGGGGTAGCCCCTGACCCTTAAACATTTGATGGGTCCCTAATATTTAAAAAAAAAAAGTCCTTCTAAAATATGTCAACCTTGTACTCAAAAGAAGTGAAATTATATTAAAAATTCAAAAATATTATTAATTTTTATATAAAAATAATTTTTTAATACATCATCAAAGTCAGATGTCAGCGGTTGAATTGCTTCTTTTGATTTAATTGTTCTAAAAGTATAACGGTGGCTTCTTTTTTTAGTAAAGATCCTTTGCAAAACTTCCATTTGTAGTAAAGATCATTTGCAAAATGAAAAAAAAATTTAAATTGACATGTTTATTGAAAATGGGTATAATGAAAAGCTATTGAGAAATATTACACACCAATTTCATCAAAGAAGACAAAATAAAAACACAATTCTATCAGAATGCAATAATCTTCCTGTAATGTCTTTACCTTGGGTACCAGGCCTTTTACCAAAGCTTTGAAAAATACTCCGAAAAGCAGGGTACAGAGCAGTTTTCAAATCAAACCCAACTTTAATATCTTTATTAACATCAAAAAACAAAACAAAACTACCAAGTAACAGCCAGCCTACAACCTATATAATAAAATGCAACCGCTCTAAAGTTTACATAGGTGAAACAAAAATGCAGGTAGTAACGCGGATGCATAAACACCAGAAGAGCATTAATGAAAACAAACCTGATCAATCTGCATTAGCATTTCATAAAACCTTTTGCAAAGAAAATATTATTTGGGAAAAAACAAGAACGTTAAAAGTTGAAAATAAAAAGTTTGAAAGAAAAATTAGAGGCACTAGAAATACAAAACAACATGTGCTCTGCACAAAACGGCGGAATTAATCTTGATGAAGGCCAATATGTCAAAACTATGTTTTGAATGCCATTTTCAAATTTTAAAAATTAAAAGAAGCAATTCAACCGCTGACGTCAACAGTAACAATTTTATATAAATTATAACAATTAAAATTATTGTAACATTTTTTAAGCTGATGATGCTGGTTTCCGAAACCCAGCCAAAATTTCTATAATAAAATTATTTGTATTGAGAGAAACTGTATTTTTTGATATTTTAAAATATGTATAATATACTCTCATACAAGATGTAATCTTTCAAATATATATATATATATATATATATATATATATATATATATATATATATATATATATATGCATACATATATATGCATACATATATATGAGGAGCTTAAAAATTTAGAGGTTGGCATCAGGTCGGCAAAAAAAATTTGATACAAAGGTTTTACCATAAAATACAGAAACAAGGTCAGAGATTTTTTATCTACCTCAAACACTATTAGGTCAGCAGTTACCTTGGCATTGCCTAATGCTGACCCTAGTTCCAAGGACTGTATTATATACAAACTAATATTCCCTATTTGTTACCTGTATTTCTAGAAAGATTTTTAATAATAACGGAACTTGATCGTACTGAATTGTCATCACTATCAATATAATCACTTGAATATTCGCGTGAACGCTTAACACTGGGACTGCCATCTGAGAGACTACTACGACCTAAACAATTTAAAACAATTATCTAAAATCTTATATAAATATTATAAAAATTACAGTGTTTTTAAAATTTTTTAAGTCTTTTTAAGATTCTTTAAAATCACAACAACTTATGAACAGCTAAGCAATAGTTTTAATGACTTATTTTTTTATTTGGAAATATTTCAGAATCACAAACATTTAAATTTATAATTAGATGTTTGAAAATATTTTCCAGCAGTTAAGTAAAGTCATAGTAGCACAACATTTTGAACACCATAAATAATTATAAACAATACTCTACTTAGGTAAGATGATTTTTAACATTTCTTTTAAAAAACTGAAGAGTTTAGGCAGGATAAAACCAATCCTAATGACAATTTTATAATGAATTAAAATAAGTAATTTTTGAGAGTACTTAATACAGTATTGATTAACAAAAGGGAAACTTAAAAACTAACCTAAATAACAATCTTTTAATATTACAATTTCACAACATTGAAAATCTGTTTAATTACAATAGAATCCGGTTAACTCAGACTTCAGATTCAGTTAAGTCAGACAGATTTTAAATTCCCCTTAAAGTCGTACCCTAGTTAAGTCAGACTAATCCTACTGTTTTTTGGGTTTTGGCAAAAAGTTTTGCTTAACTAGGACTTTTATTTTGAACTGCATTTAGATGTAATAACAAAACTTCCAATACTTCAATAAAAAATTCCAAAATTAGAGCGTTAGAAAATAAAATACCTTTGCAACAAATATAATTAAACATAACTAAAATATTCACTGATATCTTCAATTCAGTTAAGCTTAAATTAAATTCTATTAATTAATGACTATCTTATTATATATATATATATATATATATATATATATATATATATATATATATATATATATATATATATATATATATATATATATATATATATATATATATATATATATATATATATATATATATATATATATATATATATATATATATATATATATATATATATATATATATAAAATTTAATGTACTTCTGCATTAGTTTAATTGCTTTGACATTTCAACGACAATAAAATGCAGCTTAAGAGACAAGGTAAAAAAATTGTAGTCGAAAGAGACTTTTTTACCATAAGTCTCTTTCGACTACACTATAAGGATATATATATACTCTTGCATGTCTCTTGCATGGCATCAAAAAAAGTTTCCCATAAACTGTAGTTTTAAAGAGCGCGTTAATAAACCAGACCAGAAAAAGTTTTCAAAATTAATTTTTTTTTTTAATTGTTGTAGCAGCACTCCCTTGCGAGTCAGGCTATTTGTCAGTTGATGTAGCAGCATTCCCTTGCGAGTCAGGCTATTTGTCAGTCGATGTAGTAGCACTCCGTTGCGAGTCAGGCTATTTGTCAGTCGATGTAGCAGCACTCCGTTGCGAGTCAGGCTATTTGTCAGTCGATGTAGCAGCACTCCGTTGCGAGTCAGGCTATAAGATAGTCGATGTAGCAACATTTACGCATGTTTTAAAAATGTTTTTTATTAAATCAATAACAAAAACACCACTAATTAAAAAAAACTTTCTAGTCGTTATAATTGCGGTTTTTTAAAAAATTTTTAAAAAACAATAAAATTTAATGTACTTCCGCATAAATTAATTGCTTTGACATTTCGATGACAATCAAAAACAGCTTAAGAGACGAGGTAATTAAAATTGTAGTCATAAGAGACTTTTATTAAATTAAAACGCTCTTTCGACTACACTATATGGGTATATATATATATATATATATATATATATATATATATATATATATATATATATATATATATATATATATATATATATATATATATATATACATACATACATACATACATATATATATATATATATATGTATATATATTAAAATTTTATTATATTAAAAATTATGTTAAAATTTAAAAAAGACTATATTCAAAATTAAACATTACTTAAAATTCAAAACTTAAAATGTTTAAAAATAAATACCGTTGGGTCAAATATAATATAAAATATACTAATAAACCAACTAAACATTTTCACTGATATCTTCAATTCGGTTAATCTTCAATCAAATTATATTTCTTGAAAAAGTTAAAGGTTGCTAAAAGAAAGCTAACAAGTAGAACTATAACAGAAAAATATATAATTACTTTAAGAATTTGTCAAAAGAAGATTATCTGTATCAAAGATATGATCAAAAATATATCAAAAATATCCAAAACAAATATTGTCTGGATGGCCAAAAAAAACAAACATAATATATTTTAAAGTCAAAATAAATAAAACTTCTGCGAAAAAGGTGAGGATATGAGCTTCCCTACATGAGAATTTAAATAAAGAATGTTTTGTGTGGCTTTTAAACATAAGAAAACATAAGATTTTTGGCTTTTAACCAAAATATTCTTGTGTCATTATGTATTGATAAGTCACAAAATTTGGATAAGTTAGACATTTTTAAAAACTCAGACAAGAGCTTCTCTTAATTCAAACAATATAAATACACCCCTTAAGAGTCTGAATTAACAGGATTCTACTGTATATTTATATCTTACTTTTAAAATTTTTAATTTAAACCTAAACTGTTATTCATTCTTTTGTTATTTTCTAATATTGCACATATTTGCACAATAAAATTTCTTATTTTTTTCAATTATGCCTAATTTTATGTCTTGACAGATTATCAGTGCCCCTCAGATTTTCCCAATACTTTGTTAAAATTTATTACATGTGATCAAGCCTAAAATTTTACTTGTATAATTTGAGGAATCATAGTTTAGAGTATCATAATTATTATTTATTTTATTTAGTGCAGCTCTATTTATATAACAGCTTTTCCAATTATCATACAAAAAGTGACTATTAGTGAATACATTTTTGAAACTTTGTGTTGATGTAGTATGATTTATATATTCTTAAACTTGAATAATAACATTTTGTAGTGTTTAATAACAATAAAAATAGTAAAAAACTTTTTTATTCTATTAGTAAAAAAACATGATTTTGAAAAAAAACAGGACATTTAGAGACTACTTTAAAAAAAAAGCTGGACAAATAGGACCGTATTTTCATAAAAAAACACAATAAAACTTGTCTTTTAAAACATTATATTAAAGTTACGCAAAACACTTTTACGTAATTATTCAAATTATTGCTTAAGAAATAAACAAATTTTATTAAAATTAAAAAAAAAGTGTTATTATTATTTTTAAATCATGTAGACATTTATTTTTCCAAAATGTTGCATAAAAAATATATATATATATTTTAAATACCATAGTCTTTTTCAAATAATAATTTTTAGTCATTTCATGCTCTGATTAGTAAGTCAAGTTAAAAAAATCTTTCTAAAACAGAAAAAAAAAAAAAAATCTATTGCAACAAGAAGACTTATTTTATAATTATATAAGTAAAGAAAATTTTTAAAAGATTTTTTGAAATACATGGAAAAATTGTTTTAAACATTTAAATTTATCATAAAAAATACATGCCTACATAAAAAAAAAAAATTGAAATATAACATTTTTTGTTAATTTACAAAAAATGTATTTATTTTAAACAATCATTAAAATTAATTTTTTATTTTATTTAAAACCTTAGTATAAAATAAAAACTTTAGAAAAGATCAACGATTAAAAGTTATTCATAACAATATTTTTAATTGCATTTAAATTCTAAAAACATCAAAACAGTCAATCAAAAGTGGTCAATTTATTAAAAAAAAAAAAAAAAAAATCATGGTCAGTTACAGCACACTATTCCTGTCCAAGCCTGATACATATACATAAATTAGTAAAAAAAGTTCAACCTAAACAATACTTTTTTTACTTAGAATATCTTATCAAGTTATACTAATTTTTTACGCTTTGTGTACAACTACTACTTAGTCTAACTTTGAATTAACTGAGTTAACTTATTTTATAAAGAGTTTATAACCATAGGGTAAAATCTTAAGAAAATTTATAATAGCTTAAGTATAGCCTTAATATATACATTAATAGGTAAAAAAAATCTACTACATATAATAGACCTTTTAAATAATTTTCAGGCAGAATCGTAACAATTAAAGCATTCAGCATTTTAATTTCAGTAGACAAAGATATAAATCTTACAAGAAACCATATACTTGTTAATTCCCTGCCACTAGCTTTAAAGGAAAAAATATATGGAGTTTAAACTATTATATTGATTTGATATTGATTTTATACTTCCTAATATTTGATAGGGTTCAGAGAAAGGTATAACAACAACAAAATATTTTGGAGAGGTGAATATATTAAATAAATAACAAAATGATTGCCTGCTTCATTTTATTCCATAGGGAACTTATTCTAAAACTTAAACAGCCAATAAAATGTCAAGTTGAAATTGATATATAAAAAATTTGAGATAATTTCACACCATGATTTCACTAATCTTGTGATTTAAGAAAAAGCATATTTAATTAAGCCAAAATTTTAACAAAATTTTGAAATATTTTATTAATAAGATCTTTATTTAAAATCTAATCTAATTATTTAGCTATAAAAAAATTTTCCATTTAATTTTTGCATTTATACAAGGTGAGTAAACTAATTTTTATTATTTATAAAAGATGATTATACAAGAATCAAATAATATATATATATTTTTTTAATTTTACTTTAATCAACTTCAAAAATGTATACAAACATATGAACTTGAAAAAAACAAGCATTTCTTGTTGATACTTGTGGTTCTAAAATACACACAGTAATTTTAAAATTGGTTTTGCCCAACCTGAAGGACAAATTCCTATTCCAAGTTATTACTTGTCCAACCAGGTTACTTCAATGATAATATTGCAATTAACATATATTATTGGGTTATTTTATATCAACATTGTTATAAAATATGATGAAATTTTATCACAACTTGCAATCGCTAAATTTGAATAAACATTTTTTTTGTCAAATGTTTTGTGAGTTTTGTATTGAATAAGAAAGTTTATGGTGACCATACTCTAGCAGTGCACACATATCACTAGTGTTTTGCATATTACCTGGCAACAAAAAGTAGATCTACTAAATCAATCTAAAACACAAAGCAATGAGAGTTAAGCCTAAATAACCACCAACATCAAAAACAAAGTTTGCATATTTTATTATCTAAAGAGTTCAAACAACTGCTAATTAGAAAAGTTCAACAATAAACAATATTTAAAAATTAACAATAAAGTTCTTATAGTTTAGGTTAATTAAGCTTTTTTTACATTTGATTTGCTATATCAATGACAAAATAATTTATAAATGTAATAATATTAATAATAATAGCAATAATAATAATAGCAATAATAATAATAATAATAATAATAATAATAATAATAATAATATAGTACTAATAATAATAATAATATAATACTAATAATAATAATAATAATAATAATAATAATAATAATAATAATAATAATAATAAAATAATAACAAGTAGAAGAAGAAAAGGAAGAAAAAAAGGAAGAAAAAGAAGAAGAAAAATAAATTATACCTGGACTTTTATCTCGCTTTAGTGGTGTATATGTAGATACTCTTTTTTCTTCTCGATGGTATAAAGGACGATAAGCTTGTGAATGAATCAAATGATCTCCTGGTGCTGCTGCATATATAACAACAGGTTGGTTGCCAATTCTATTTAAAATTTAAATTTTACTAAAATATTTTTTGAAATTCTCTTAAAATACATAATATTAACAATTTAGATTCTGGTAGTTAAAATAATTAGACTATTTCCCTAGGAATCTATTTAAATTTTGAAAGAATTCAAAATGTTTTTAAAATATACAGAAAAAAATTTAACTAATTTTAACTTTATAATATCCCCAACTTTAAAATTTCAACTAAAAATAAAGTTTTTAATCACTTTTAAATTTAAAAAAATGTTGATCAATTAAAAAGCATCAAATATTTTTCTCTGTTCTGTCACAAGCATAGCTGAAATACTTTTCTCCTTTTCTGCCACAAACAAAGAACAATCACTATAATAAAGTTTATTGGAAATTTATCAAATTTAATTAGAAATTAGTACTTGCATAAAATGAACTTTTTTTATTAGTTGATAAATTTTAATATTAATTTATTTATTTATTTTAATATTAATATTAGTTGATTAAATTTTTAAAAATGTAAAATTTCAACTTTTATAACATATTATGAAACCAAAGTTTTTTTTCATTTTAATATTTAAAAACTCAGTCAACTTTAAACAAAAATTTATAGAGAACAAATGGCACAGTAATGGCACAATAATTATAGATAACATAAAAAATAAGGATTATAATATTAATAATAATAACAATATTATTGTTATTATTATTAATATTATTATATTTTCATAATAAATAAAATGTATAACATTATTTGAAACAAATTTTTTAAAACTTGAATGATTGAGTTTCAAACATTTAAAAATTTTTTTGCTAAGTAAATCAAAATATTAAAAAAATTACTAAATTTTTAAAAATTTTGAACATTTTTCATGTAGAACTATAGAAAAGTAAAAAATTTATTCTTGATTTAAAAGATTCTATTGGTACCCAATAAAAAAAAAGTTTTTTCAAACGATGTCATGTTAGGTCTCAAATGAAGCAAAATTATATCAAAATTTTGAAAAAAAAATCATATAAAAAAATTATTTTTACATTTTTAAAAAAAGTTTTACAGGTTTTTTAAATGAATCTTTTTTTTAGATATGTTTTAATAATATATAATTACCAAGTCGCAAACTAAGTAGTCAGGGCCAGGTTAAGTACTTCTTGGCCTCCTGGCACTTTAGGCCTTCTGTAGGCCTGTTAGCCTCCTAGTATTAAAATTTAACAGCAGCTTAAATTTAAAAAAATTGTAATTGTTGCGCTACGGCTTTATGTTTTTTTTTAATTGTATTTAAACAAGCATCTCCCATTATTATTAAAAACATGCTGCATTAAAATAGGTTTTAAAACACCTTTAGTCTGCATTTTAAGCGTTCTAATGCAGATATGAAATCTTTTAGGTACAATACCTGGTTTTCTATATGAATATTAGAAAGATTTAAAAGACGTTCCTGAAAATAAGCTCAAAAATGAAAACATTTGTTCAATAAGTGAAAGCTAAAATCAGGTTCTCAGTCAACAAGTTTATGTGCACTGCAGCAAATCTCTGAAATACCCATGCTAGGGAGATTTACAAGAAAACCAAACTAAATATTCAATCAAGAATAGACTTGAAAACATTTGTTTGATCTTTTTTATTATCAAATTTTTTAAATTGTCACCACGCTTTTCACTGAAGTAACAAAACACTTCTAATTAATTTTTCAAATAAGTAATAATAAAGTGTTGTTTTTTTTTATTTATATAATTATGTATTTTTTATGATAAATGTTTATCTTTTGAAATATTTAAAAAAAAGTACAAATGTTAAAACAAAGATTGAAATGGTTTTGTAATGCATAAATTAAATAGACTTTTTTTTTCAAGCATTTTAGTTTAATGAGTTTTGTTTTAGTTGGGTTGTATATATATTTATTTTTTTGTGTTTTTGTTTTTAAGTATTTTTTTTTTTTTTTTCTCTTTCGTTAGGATTTTTTCCTTTTTACAATTTTTTTTATATAAGTTTAGTTAAGTTTTTGTAGCGGATTTTTAAATTTTGAAAAGTCGTGGTCAAATCGTTAAAACATTATTTTTTGCATGGTCATATAAAGACATGAAATCGCATTCCTTCCTGTGAAAGCCTGAATTAATTTAAATTTCTTATTTTACCATTATATTCTTAAATTTGTTTTCAAGTTTTTTTTTTCACGATTATGTTCAAACTCGAAAGTTCTTTCAAGTCATTAAAAAAAATAAAACTTCCAGTTAGCGAAACATCATAAGCGCTGTTATTGCAAAGATTAAAAATCTCTGGGACATGAGAGGAAGTTAAGGATAGAGGCCAATAACAATTTTATTTCAACTTATATATCCCTCAAAAATTCACTTAGATGCTCTGGCCCCTTTATCTCAGTGGTCTCCCATTGGTTAAATCGTCACTGTAAGTAGTCACAAATTATAAAATCTGGAAATATCTCCGATCTTTAAATTCTTAAGAACACTGTTTTGATGTAAGGGTCAACTTAACCCCCATGTCAGCATAAGGATTTTTGTTGGAAACACTGCCATATAAAGGCATTTTTTTGCGGAAAAAACAACATTTGCTTTTAAAAAAAAAAAAGGTACTCACTTTTTAAATATGGGCGGCGCCCAAAATATGTCTTAGTACGGTCAACAAAAATATCATAAAAAAGATCTAGAATAGTACTTGATATATATATATAATATATATATATATATATATATATATATATATATATATATATATATATATTTGTTCTAGTATGCTGTTTTTGTAATGTTAACAATAATTTTTGTTGTGCTCATAATATCATTGTTATAAATTATTCAATATTTTTTCAACTATTTTTCATATAATGAAGGTGTTTTTATATTTTAAATATAAGAACTTAACCTTATTTACTGTTTTTCAGTGAAAGAGGTTAAATGCAATACTTCCAGAGGCACAAAGTGTAAACCTTAAACCTTTTTATTGTGAACTTAGTGTTCTACCACTAACCTTCCACTGTGTTAATATTTCTATTATCAAGAGGTAAATTAATTGTGAAAACCATTTAGCGATCTTGAAAGTATATTATTTGAAGCAATGGCAATTGCTGACTTTATTATTTCTTGGTAAAAACTTTTATGAAAAAAACTTTCATCATATTTCATGACATTATTGATACAAAATAACCCAATAATATAAAGGGTGTAGGGATAAGATAGACAGGGTAAACAAAGTACAATATATACTCTTATGATCACTGACAATATATACACTTATGATGTATTAATTAAAAAAACTTGGTCAAACAAATATTACCTTAGGTTATTTTTCTGCCAGGCCAGGCCAAGCTTATTACTGATTGAATTTTCATGACCACAAGTATTAACAAGAATGCTATTTTTTAAAGTTTTTTTATTTTTAGTTGATTAAAGTAATAGATTATTTTTATATACCTCACTTCTATTTTATTTTATTTCAATTTTGGCATATAAAAATAATAATTTTTGTTTTGTATTTACATTACCTGAATTAACATTTGTTTTATAACAATAATATTTAAAAATACTTTATTTATGAGAGTCTTAGTGAAGTTTTCTATTTTTGTTGCAATAAACTTGTTTTTTCTGCAAATATATTTGTGATATGGTAAGTTAGAGTTATTTGCTCCTTAATTATTTTAACTACAATTGTTCCTAGAGTTCAAAAATTTAGGGCTGAGTTTTATGCTTCTAAGTGTTATTCTTTAATTGGCCTTAAATTTTTTTTTCTAATTTGATTTCAAATACTTCTTTTTAAAATGAAAACCTTTTGTTAGCTTTAAATTCAAAAACTTTATCAATGCAGTAAAAAATATTTGAAAAATCATCACTACAAATGAAAGAAACTAAAGTTTGTATTTTTTATTGTTAAAATCTAAAGTTTGGTTTATTTTTTTTATGTTTAAACAACTTAGGTGATGTATTATTATCAATAACCTTGATATTAACAATACAAGAATGTAAACTTGTTTCTCTGGGCAGCAGCCTTGTTTGTCAAGGTTCGGGTTTCAGAGTTAAGGAGTTAAGAGAGAGATGTAACCACAACTAAAGTAGCCTCCTCAACTGTAGTGGTCTTGGGAAGTTAAATTGAAATAAATAAATTTAAAAAAAAAAATTTATTTAACAATACTAGTAGACATTTAAGAAATTTAATTAGAATAGCTTCTAAAAGCCCCAGTCAGTCAGGGAAAAGAGTGTAAGCTGCTTGTTCTAAGCAATCAAAAAGTGCAGAACTATTATCAAAAATGGCAATATAGTTGCATTATCAACAAATTTAGTTATCCACTTTTGTAGCAAGATTGTTGGGTAGAATTTAGTATAAATAAAAATCACTATGGTATCTAGGATAGAAATCTTAGAAATCCTAAAAATGTATGGTATCTAGGACAGAAATTAGAAAGTCTGAAAATATGGTGATCAAAAATACTAAATAAATTGATATTAAATAAACTTAATGATCAAAAACAAAATAATAGGTTGATAAAATATACGTAAAAGACAAAAAAAGTGAATTGCAATTTCTGAATGTTTCTATTCATCAAATTCTCAGTTTATTAAAAACCGTGAATACTGTTTTAATGAAATGGTCAACTTATCATGTAGCAAAATTTAATGAAAAAACAAAACAATAAATTCACTACTGCAAAAATACTAACAATCACAAATTACATATTTTAAATTATTATATGTTAAAACACCAGGTAATTTAAGGATTATAAATTTAAAAAAAAAAAAAATTATAATTACTAAAGGTCTGAAATTTACGCTGTAAATTGAAAATCAACCAATATAAAAGTATACTAAAGCTATTTGCGCATTGTATGATTGTATGACATTAAAATTGATTTTGTTTAGAGGGAAACTTTGAGGTATTATTTATTCAAAAATTAAAATTTTTTAAATTAGAAATAAATTAATTGATAATAAAAATAATAATAAATAAGGTATATTTTAAATAAGTTATTAGAGTTTTTTGTTTTGTTTTAAAATAACTATAAAAAATTTAAATAAGTT